GGATTAACTTTTGGTTGCCTCGCTGATTAATTTGGAATTTAATAGCAAAATAATGAGCTTCATGCTATAATATTTGCCGGGATAGTTGATGTATAAACTCTATCAACTGCTTTTCTTGCCTGAAAAAAGTAGAGAAAAGAGAATGGCTGTGAGGAAATAGTGTAATAAATATAACTACAAGAAAAATCAAACTAATTAAAGGGTACTTGATATTTCATTTACTTGCTCATCCCAATTTGTTTGCAATGTGATAAACACCACTTATGATGCCCATCGAAAGTCCCTGATAGGTTTTGCGATTCATTAAAGAAATGAGAATTATCATATAGCTTTTTTTACCCTTATCTTTTATCCCACCTTTTTTTTTGAAACAACTTCTGAGTTATCATCTTTTCACTGTAGATGTAATATTATTCTATTACTTGATATGATAAACTTTAAATGCCTATCCGATAATAAGACAAAAGTCAAAAGTCAAGATTATGACACAAGGAAGTCCCACAAGATAATAAGCTCCAAAGTTCACATACGCACCAATTTTTTGCCATCCGCACCCCCTAGCAACACCTACATTTTGATATAGTAAATGAGAGATTATCTTCGATGACATAAAGATTACCAATTAACAGCACTACCAAAACCAAAGGGGATTCTGAATACCATTGTACTTGTGTTGAGGCTGCAGAAAAGTTTTGCTCAAGTTTACATTATTACACTGATGTCGTATAAAATGGATAGGTAAGACCATTTCTAATGCAAATGGCAATGTTAACTGTACATGTGGTTCTAAAAAGTGTGATAAGAGTATATTTAATATGTTATTTTCATTTGTACGCATAATGTTATTTCAAATGTTAAATCTTCTTTTTGTTATTTTAGAAGTTGTAAAAAGTAAGCTTCTAATTTTTAAATAATTTGAAAATAAAAATGTTAGAATGATTAAATGAAAAAGTAAACATATTAACTAATAGCAATTAAATGGCAATTTGGCATGACAAATGACATTACAATAGAGAGTGCCTTTTACACTGATGTCAAATTTGCCTTTGACATATCAATTATAGCATTGCATTGGAGATGCTCTAAGCTGTGAAAAAAAATAGAGCAAGGCTTTATTTAGACTCTTATTGTCGATATTAGAGGAAATGGGACCATACCTGAATGACATAATTGATGTTTCAAGCTTTGAATTAGGAAGAAGACCAGACATGAGCACAAGAAACTCAAATGACCAACATTCTAAGCTGATACGAGTCAAAGATATTATCAAAAAACATTTAAGATATAGTAGCAAAGAACAAAGTCAAAACTCTAGAAGAAAAAAAAAAGGACCATTAAACTCACCAAACCATAAGAGCTGAAGGTATAGCTAGCTTTAAAAAGCCAATGAGATTTTTCATGCCTTCTTGGAAAAACCTCTCCAAGTTTTCTGACATAAATGAGAAAACTTGATATAGATTGCCAAAATCAACACATTGGTCCAATAAGATATGGTATTGGAAAGAGCAGCCCCTTTACTGCCAAAGTCAAATCTAAAAATCAAAGTCCAACATACAAGAACATGAACAAAAATAGTAATCCCAGTACTTATAACCAAAGGCCAAATGTTGTTCTGAGTTTGCAAGAATCTGAGTTAGCACTGAAGAAGTCCGCAAGGGAAAATGCTCGGAATCAACCACTGAGAATATAGTCCCGCTCGTGCTGCGATTTCGGGGTCTTTTTTGAGGCTTCTGAAGATTTGTTCAGTACAAGACCAGAGGACATCTATAGGAATGCACATAAGTGTAACAACCAGCATAGCTCTTTGCACGTGAACACCAAGCATATGATACTGCTTTGCACCATAGGCTTGTCCACAAAAAGTTTCCAAAGCGCTTCCGATTCCGAGCTGCTCATGAAAAGAAATTACAGAAAACAACAATATCAACTTGATAAGATAAAAACAAACATTTATTTATGCAAATAAAATTTCTACATACCATAAGTTTACCTGTAAAATAATGTGGTAAAGATATAGAGAAGCAGATTTTTTGGCAAGTTGACTTACCATGAAACTGAAACCGGTGACTCCAGAAAAGGCGGTAGCCATAGAAGAGCTTGACAGAGAAAGCTCCCCAAGATGACCAATAAACATGACAGAGATCATAAGTAGACTAGTTTGTAAAAAGCTAACCAAAACTAGAGGTCCTGCCAAGCACAACTGCTTCTTCAACTCTGTCACAACTTCTTATTTTTTATGGCATTGGCTAGTACCGGTTTTCGAGATTAAAGGAGCCTCAAGAGATAATTTGGGGTCTTGTTGATCCATATTACAAGTGTTTCTTTAATCTAAAGAAATGGAGAAAAAGGAGATTATTTTGACTCTAGAAAAAAGAAGAAGCTTTTGAGAGTCTGCATTTGAATTTGGTTTTTAGGTCACACAAAAGAAAAATACTTAAGCGTAACATCAATATTAAGCACCACCATTAATAGAAGACAAATCTCATATGTAGATCTCATATCACGAGACTCACCTTCTATTAGTAGTGCTGAGCACCCCAGAGCCCTATGGCATTGTTGAGCATAAAAGTTCGGAGCCCATAGAGCACCAAAACATGATATTAGTGTTATGTATTTTTGGACGACTACCTTTACATTGACTTAAGATTATCTTTCTTGTAAATCTCGGCCATATCATTCAGATGTGTTTTATTGTATTTAATTACGGATTATTTTCATAAATACCTCCTGAATTATATATTATATTTCATAATGTCCATAATTTTTCAAAATAGTTCAAAACACCTTTTAATGTATTAAAAATGAATCAAAATACTCATTCCGTCTATTTCCGTCTTTAATAGAATACTGATGTGGCAAGCTATATTAAAATATTAAAAACTAATTAAGCTAAAACAAGAATTAATTACTAAAAGATTAATAAAAAGATTCAGAGTGCTAAAGTTTTAATGGAAAAAGAATTAAAATTCAATACAAAAATAAAATATCTGGAATCTTTTTCAAATCCCACTCAACTTGAACACCAAATTGGCCTCCACCCCCCTCTCGACGGCGATGGCCATTCTTTTGATGCCGGCCAAGCTTGCTTGCCTCCGCTAACTACGGCGAAATCTATGACTAGCGCCGTCAGGTGGTTGACACTCGGAAGCCCCGCCTCCCATTCGAGTTCTCGACGTTGAATCTTCATTATATCCACACATTTGTTGACTATCATATAGTTATAATATGAAGGGACTCATAAATACCAATATAAATTTCCCATCTATCTGTCCAATTTATTATTCCTCAGATTGGAGAGGCCACAAGGGAAAATGCTAGGAATCAACCAACGTAAATATATATATATATATATGTATATGTATATGTATTTCTTTTTTTGAAGAAAGGTTATAGAGTTCACTAATCTTTTCAAGAGAAAAAAAACAAAAACAAAAACAAAAAAACAAAAAAGAAAGAGGAAAAAGGAAAACGTCTAGGAAAGAAGGCAAGAAACGATAGGTATTGTCGTTATTCAATTATTGCAGCATATGTGGAATTCATCTTTGGAAAATCCATTGATTCAGCGGATCAAAGTTAATATTTTGTTTTTGGGGGTCGGATTGAAACAATTATGCAATAGAGGCTAGAGCCTCAAATGTTATCCAAAGAATCAAATCGTTTGATGTTTAGCACCAAAAGAAATAATAATAAAAAAATCAAATCAAATCCTTGATCCATGCATCGCGTGTATTCCATAAGTTGACTTGAGGAGATTTTGGTGTGATTCAATAATGTATTTCATAATTGATTTAAAAAAAACAAAAAAAAACAAAATTGCATTTTTTTTCTTTTTTCATTCATGAATTTAATCTGTTCGTGAGTTTGAGTTGAAAATTTGAGTTGAAACATTAGAGAAAAAAAGTTAAATTTAAATTTTTGTAAAAGAAAATACTATGATAAAAAGTTTAAGTTATAACTTAAATTGTGAAACAAACGGCGTCTAAATTATTCACAACATAGGTGCAACAACTATGAAAGACAACACATCAAGTAGGTAGCAACCCTGTGGGTGCTTTTTGCTGCTCTTTATGCTTTGTTTGGTATGAATGAAAAGTGGAAAGAAACATAATGTTGGAGAGATTTTGAGATGGAAATTGATAAGTTGATAAGTTTGTTAAGAAAAGAAGTTTGGATGGAAAAGAAATTGAATAGAAAAATTTGTAGGTAGGCCCACCATAATTAATACTCCCAAAAGTGGAAACAAAAATCAAAATTTTTTTAATTCTTTTAATTTTAGAGACCTTTTTTAGAAGACCGATTTATCAATAGTCTCAATTTTTGACCGTTATATCTGGTTAAAATCAGATCAAATTAACAAGGTATACAGAATATATGTGAATTTAACGATTGAAAAACAAAATTGCATTTTTTTTTCTTTTTTCATTCATGAATTTAATCTGTTCTTTTTGTGAGTTTGAGTTGAAACATTAGAGAAAAAAAGTTAAATTTAAATTTTTGTAAAAGAAAATACTATGATAAAAAGTTTAAGTTATAACTTAAATTGTGAAACAAACGGCGTCTAAATTATTCACAACATAGGTGCAACAACTATGAAAGACAACACATCAAGTAGGTAGCAACCCTGTGGGTGCTTTTTGCTGCTCTTTATGCTTTGTTTGGTATGAATGAAAAGTGGAAAGAAACATAATGTTGGAGAGATTTTGAGATGGAAATTGATAAGTTGATAAGTTTGTTAAGAAAAGAAGTTTGGATGGAAAAGAAATTGAATAGAAAAATTTGTAGGTAGGCCCACCATAATTAATACTCCCAAAAGTGGAAACAAAAATCAAAATTTTTTTAATTCTTTTAATTTTAGAGACCTTTTTCAGAAGACCGATTTATCGATAATCTCAATTTTTGACCGTTATATCTGGTTAAAATCACATCAAATTAACAAGGTATACAGAATATATGTGAATTTAACGATTGAAAAAAAAAAAAACTACCATTAATCTATTTTTCCAGAGACTACTAAAAAAACTCCCTTAATTTTATCCCCTTATAATTTTTCTTTCCCTCCCACATGCTTTCCTTCTTATCAGACGGAGTGTTATTGTTATCTGCTTTTGACGTGTAAATGTGATGATTCGTGTATTCCCGTTTTATAATTCTTCTCCTGCGCAAGGTGTTGGAGTTTGTCAAAAAAGGGTCATGCAAAAACATTATACAAAGTCAAAGAGCAATTGCAATAATTGTAGTATGGTCCTTATAACTAGACCACCTAGCTTCACAAAGTCACTTTTTTTTTCTTTTATGCAATTCACAAAGCGCTTTCAACTTTAATCAATGCGAGCTTTAAAGTTAGATTCTATCAAAATCATAATAAGATTAAAAGTATATAAAACTAACAGAACCTAAATAGATATGGTGGTCCAAAACAAATCGTGCATGTAAAAATCTCGAAATAGGCAGATGAGCTTACTTTTTCTACTTCATAGTTAATTAATGATATTGAATTCTTATCATACCGAAACATAACCATTAAAAACTCATCCATATACTCTGTAAGCAGAGATCATCCAAACCGGTTGGATATACAAATATAAACTTCAACTACAATCAACAAAGATGACTGTACAACTGTTTCTCAGATTGTAAACACTGGTAATGAAAATAGGAGAGCCAAAGAGAACAATACTGATATAATGGTTCACTCACTAGAAGAGCATTTATTGATAGGATATTCCATAGCTGCGATCACTTTTTCACGTCTTTAGATGCTTGAATCTGGGTTGGTGACAAAATTGGATGATCCAAATTCACTTGGATGCACAAACTATAACTGTTCAACTACAATCACAAGCAAGTATTCATCTTTTTGTTTTTTTGCTACATAACGGAAGAATTGGACTAAAGGGAAAAAAAAAATGGCAAACTTGTGAAAAATGAACGTATCCGAACCTAATATAGGAGCGGAGGCGAAGTGCAGTATTGGAGCAGAAACTCGTCCTTCAATATTTAACAAGTGAACATGCCAGAAAGGGATAGTGAAAACTCAAAAAAGATCGTTGAGAGGTCAAATTATAGCTGCTGATCAAGATAGGAATCTCTAGGAGGTTTTGGAGTTGACAGATATTCAGAAACACCTGAAACATAACCTTTCAACCAAGAAGTGCTGCGAGTCAACCAGCTGGTTTGTGCTTGTTCCTGTACTTCAAGCATGCTCCTTTCTTCTTCGACGAGTATCTCGATCCACCTCTTAGCCATGAAAAGTTTGACGGCTTCAACCCCTTCATTCACTACCTCAATAGGCGGGATAACAAGCGGATTCTGCTCCAAGTTGAGTTTAGTCAAGTTGTCAAGTCGACCAAATGTATAGGGAAGGGCATGAATTTGGTTGTTGCTGAGATCAAGTTCCCTGAGATTGGTTAGATCACCGATAGTGTCAGGAAGTTCTGTCAAGTCGCTGAAATTACTGCTCAGATTGAGAACTTCAAGCTTTGTTAACTTCCCAATTGCAAGCGGCAGGCCACGGATCTCATTGAAATGAGCATCCAAATAGCGCAAAGATCTCATCTCACAAACAGAAGTAGGAAGTGAACGAATCTTATTTAGTTGGATTGAAAGTCTCTCTAGATTAACCAATTCATAACCAATGTTCGTTGGCAAGTACGTCAGGCTGTTGAAGCTCGCATCCAACTCCACCAAGGCCCTAAATCATTCAAGAAGCATATACAAATATTCCAAAAAGAATTTAAAACGATAATGCTTGTACATTCCAGAAAGGATGTCAATATACGAAAATGATCCCCTTCCTATGTTCTGATTTTTTATCAAGTACACCATTCTCATACCAACAAAGAAAGAGATGAGAATTACCTGCAATGGCTAATGGTATCAGGAAGGCAGTTAAGCTTGTTTCCAGAGACATTCAGAATCTTCAATCTTTGCAACAAGCCAATCGAGTCTGGCAGAAACAGCAAAAGATTGGAAGAGGCATTGAGCTCCTCAAGATTTTCCAATCCAGCTATTGAATCAGGAATTACCTGTTAATCTCGCACGGGTTACATGTAAGTAAAAAAGAGATGCTACTACCGTATCAAAACTTCCTCGTCTTTTAAACTTATGGTCAAATTAAAAAAAATCGACGACTAAAGCAAAGCATTTATCGGCCTCTTAGTATATTGATAATATGAACATTTAAGGAAACATCACAATACTTGGATGCTCAAACGAAAAATAAATAACGCGTTTATCAAATAATGTGTTTATCAAATTAGACAGGAAAAAAAAAAACCACCCTCACATGGCAGAACCAAAACGATTAATTAGCTTTCATCAGTCAATTTGGTGGAGGGGTAATTGAAAATCTCTCATTCCCCAACAGTTCCTCCATCCATTCATGAATCCATATTAGTAAGAATCATATCAAGAAAGCAAAGTTCTTTAGTCTTTCTAGGGAAATTTTGAGCCAAACACACTCATTACTAGCAATTTCAGTCTCAACAAATCCTAGTTTGCCTCCTAATTTTTTACTAATTACAAGCACAAAACAGCATTATAACTTTAGCTTTCTCAAACTCAACATTTCTTTAAAATCATCAAATAACTGAAATTCAACATTTCCCAAATTCAACGACCAATTGTTTTTCTTGGAAAAAGAAAACACTAAACCGACAATAAAGAATCGGAATTGCTCATGAGTTCTTCTTGAAAATGAAAAAATTTAAATCAAACTGCAAAGAAGAAATTAAACTAACCTCAAGTTGATTGCTGGAGACATTAAGCACTCGCAATCCACGAATCCTCCCAAACGCCTCCGGCAAGAACCTCAACTGCCGGCCGGAGAGATCGACGCGCTCCAATTCCGTTCCAGAAGCTTCCTTCAAAATCCCCACCACCTCCTCGTTCACCTCATCCCCGTCCACCGCCGACTCCTCGCCCTCCGCCGAGTCGTAAATCTTCACCAGCCTCTCCTCCGCGTCCTTCAGAAGCTTCTCGTACGCCTCGTGCATCTCGTCCAGCTGAATCACAGCCTTGTAAATCTCTTTCTCCTTCTCTGCCGACCGCCTGCACTCGCTCTCCTTCTCCGCCAGCTGCGCCCGCCACTGGCCACGTTCGACCTCCGCCGGCCGCGGCGACAGCACCAACTCCTCCAGCTGCTTCGCCAAATTCGCCTCGATGTCCGCCAGCTTAGCCCTAGCGGCATCCACCGCCTCGTGGTCGGGCCGATCGCCGATCGTCCGGAGCACCGATCGGGTCTGCGCCACGTCGGCCACAGCCCGTGTCATGGACGCCAGGAGCTTCGGGTCGGTCAGGCGAGGCAGTTCGTCGAATATCTGGAGCTGAGTCGCCATCGACGACGACGACGGATCAGAGGGAGGTTTCGACGGCGGCGACGGAGGCTGCTCGATGTCGAAGGAACCCGGGTCGGATCCTGCTGGTGGCTTGGTCCGGAAGGTCGGGAGGCGGCCCATGACGTAGGAGAGGATTGGGAAGGTTTTCGGGTTCGGATCCATTTTTGGAAAAGAGAGGCTTTCAGAGGGAATTCTTCTTCAAGATCGATGATTTTTCAGGGATAGTCCGATGAAAAATGATCTGATTCTTTTTTTTTTTTTCCCTGTTATATTCTGTAGAAGTGGAGTTTTAAGTGTGCCTTCTTGTGGCTGGGGTGGGGCCCAAGTGGAGTTTCCTGTCCTATCAGTGCGTGGGCCGGACAGGACCGCTCTCTCACTGCCACGTGTACGCTAAGGAAGGCGAGAGACTCGGGAGTTGGGGTTGCGGAACACCGGGTCTTGGGGTTTTAGGAATTTTTTTTTCAATAATTATTTATTTGGAAATATTGTGGTAGGTGTCTTTTTTTTTGTCTTTTTATTTTTTTAATATAAAGAGTATTTAGAATTCGTTTTAAGATGATTTTATTTTTTGTATAAAAATAAAAATGAAAATATTTTTAATCTCAGATAGAAATTATTTTTAAAAATGTATTTGGTAATTTTATCAAGAGATTATTTTCAGTATAAAAAATTTATTAATGTTTCTATCTTTTTTTCTCTGCTCAAAAGAGGAGAAAATGAAAATGAAAAATGAAAAACGACTAAAGTCGTTTTTCATTTCTCTCTCATTTTACACTAAATTAAAAAATTATTTTTATTTCCGTTTTTTTATCTTTATTGCGCCAAACGCCGTTTTAGAAAAGTTTTCATTTATTCTTTCTCAAAAAACGTGAAAAATAAAAACGGGATCAATTCCAAACATGGCCATAAGAATCTCTCAATTTTTTTGTCTTATATTAATCTATTTTATTTTTTTTAATTTCATATGGTTATGAATAATCATATCATTTATAACTACATTCAACCAATAAGGTATTTTTCATACCATATTAAAAATTTCACTTTTTCTCAATGTGATATTTCCTTTACATAAGAATACGAAAATAACGATTTTGTCTATAAACCAACTTTAGATTGATGATAATATGTTTTCTTGTTTATTATGTTGGGTTTATCTTGAAAATGTTGGGATGAAACTAATCAAATTAGAATGCCTTTCTCTTATGATTGACATAGTGAGAAAATAATTGTGACCTATGACTTGTGTCTGAAGTTCTTTTGGATTCATCAATTGTGGATGTGTGATGATTAGCATATATCTTTTGATTTGTTGACTTGCAAATAGTCTCTCATGGATTCATCAAGTTTATTAAGCACAACAAAATGTCAACAAAAGCAAGTACATTTAGTTTAATTCTTGCGTTTAAGTCATTCATTTTGATTATGAATTTAAATTTTATGAAAAAATCATATTTTTAAATACATGAATCAAACGAGCATTTGTAATGTGTTTTCTCTTGTTCCATTGACTAGTTACTAGTAAGTTGCACAAAAAAGATCAAAAAAAAAAAAAAAAAAAGGTGCATCATTTTTATCTGTTTGCGTCAAAAGGCGATGTCCCGTTGAGTTGCCAAGAGGATTTCCCTCTCTACCAATGCAAAAATCTCTCTCACTCGATCTGTGAACTTATCAGTAATGTTCTGAGTGATTTTTTGTTGGAACTTTGAGCTTCTTAGCCAAGTGATTCCCATATATACATCGCACTTGCATGCATTATGAGAAAAAGCAGATTTCTCAATTTGGTATCTCAAGTGAACCTGCATACAAATGAAATTGAGAACTATCAATATTGCGGTGAACTCGAATCAGCGAAATAAACGGGATCTAAATATTTCTCCTTTTTTTTTTTCCAAAAATTAAATTTATTATATCGATCGAGTATTTTTTTCATTTTGTATCATAAAATTTTTAGGAAGCTTTTTGATGTGTGAAATACATACGCGAAAGTGGTCAGAAAATGGGACATCGTGAAGTGCCATAACTTCATTCAAAATCCACCCCTGGCCATTCGCAATGGGAAATTTTTGTTGTGTGCAAGTGACTTCTCCTCCGAAGACGGAGACATGGCGATTGAATTTGTAAGAGAGACGTCGTTCAAGAATATCATCTTTGAAAGCTTCCCATGCAGTAGTTGTGTAATTTAGGCAACCATATTTCACCATTACTTTTTGCTCCAACTTTCCTCCGCCAAACATCTCCATCAGCGAGTTTATCTACACCATTTCCCAACAGAGTTTACAATCTGACACTAAGGACCGTTTGGAAGGTGAGTTCAAACCAAGCGGTTTTAATCACATTTTAACATTTTGTGAGGAAAAACACTATATCAAAGATATAAATTTAAATTTTTTGTGAGACAAAACGATGTTTAAACCAAAACTATGAGTGGTTTGAACTCAATACCAAACGAGGCCTATGCAACAGACGACACAGGAATTAGAAAAACAACAATACTCATAAACGAACTTCACCCCCAAAAGAGCGGGGAGAGCAAGAAATAGCGGCTGTTTGAAATCGACATAGCTCTTCAAGAAAAAAAGAAACGACACATGAAAGAGCAGCATAATCTTAGAAACGACACTCAAACTAAACACAACATTATACCCATAAGACAACCTCTTTTATGTACGACGTCATGAAAAAGGCGATATCCTATATAACTGGCAAATCTTATACCATTAAGATAAAAAACGACAACAAAATTGAAACGATAGACGACAATAAACTTATAAACTATTCATAAATGACTAGGAACGACAATAAGTTAATAGAACAAGTATTCTCCTTTAAGCACTTGGACAGAATAAATTTTGAGAAACAATAAATATTTGATTGTAATTTTAAAATGCAAATAAATAATGAAAAACGACATTAGATTCTACAAGAATAAATGAAGACGACAATATATCAGTAAAACGACATCTATTTAAAAAGGAGGTAACCATAAAACGACAACATTTTGCATGTACAGGATAACATCCTGTGAGCGACAGTAAACTTAATAACAACAAGAAACGACTATTCATTGCCAACGACATCAAAAAAGTCATCAGTTTACAAAACCACACCATGGCACAAACGACTATAACTTATGAATACGACAAAAGTTCAGGCTCCTGGAGGTTGGAAGCCGCGATATTTCAAAAGACTACTTAAAAAACGACAACATCTACTAAAAAACATTATGAACAAGAACAACTGTTTAAAAACGACAATAAGTTCAAGCATCTCCGACAAAAAGCAAGGGTTTAAGAACTTTAAAAAAAAGATTTGAGAAATGTTAGCGTCACTCTCGACAATCACTGTTTAACACGTGAACTCCAATATACTATTTTTGTTTAAATAATAATATATTATGTTAGTGGAGTTTAATAATGAATGTAAAGAGTGACAGACAAGAATGACACTAGCCTTTCTAAAAAACTTAAAAAGGATACATGCATGTATAAAGAGGAACATCACACAAATGACAAGAACACATAATGAGAAGAGTTCATGGGAGAATAAGAAAAGTCTCTCTTTGAGGCTTGGAAACGCAATAGAGTGAATAATGCAAAGAAAACTGGGTGCATATTACAGGCACTCACATTAATAGGAAGTTCTGCACCATAAACTTTGGACATCTTTGCATCTTCAGCATCTAAGACGATTTCATTATCGTCAACCATTATGGATCTTTCTTCTTGATCTTCCTGCTCTTCTGCTATTTGAGGCTTTTGCTCAGCTGGTAGAGTTCTAGTTCTCCACAATGCCATGATTGTTCTGCCAACACAACAATTTTGAGTTCTAAACCTGTCTATGGATTAGCTGCAAAAAAATATATTTGCTCAAGGAAAATAAAAATAAAAATAAAACACCTGCTAGCCACATTGAATGACACAAATGACTGAAAACAAAATCGAAGCCTGCCTTCTTCGTCTTGAGACTTTGCGGCGCGCCTCGCATCAAGGCCTCGGTCCTTTTTCAGAATTATAACCAGCAAAGGGCTGCCCACTGATGAAAATGTTGGGGGAAGTACCTGAATGTCTTCAATGTCCTCCCAAAGAAAGAAGAACTTGGTCTTGTGGCCGAACAGATTCGCATAAAACCCCACTATTCTTGCAGATAGGAAAAGCCTACCCTGCATTAATAGTCACAAAAACAGTTGAATTTAGCCATTAGGACTACTAAAGTAACTGAAATATAAGTTAAAAGCATAGTTTCTATGATACTTGCTAAAATAAAAAATCTTACCAAATTATTGTTTCATTATGTGAGTTAACCATCAAAAGTTCAAAATTGAAAATAATCCATTGCGCAAGTATTGGAATGGCAGATATTGGTAGAACCTGAAGTGGCAGTTTTCTCTTCAGCTGGCAAGTAAAATCACTAATGAGAAACTCTTCTGGTGGTAACCCGAACAACTTTTGGAATGCCG